GCCCACACCAAAGAACTCCACCAATCAAAGTTGGGGCAAAGTCCGCCCACACCAAAGAACTCCACCAATCAAGGGTAGGAACGTAGACCCACTGGTAAACTGAGAGCTTCACCTTCTGGCTCAGCTCTCTTCACCACGACAGACCGGTACAACGCCCACATCACTGCAGACACAGCACCAATCCACCTGTTGATCTCCTGCTCCATTCTTCCCTCATTCACGAACAAGACCCTGAGATACTTAAACTCCTCCACTTGGGGCAGGACCTCCTCCCTGACCTGGAGAAGGCAACCTACCGGTTTCCGGCTCAAGACCATGATCTGGGATTTGGAGGCACTGATCCTCATCCCAGCTGCTTCACACTCAGCTGTGAACTGCTCCAGTGAGAGCTGGAGATCAGGATCTGATGAAGCCTGTGCTGGAATACTTATATAACTCTCTGCCTGTACAAGTTCATACTGTCTTGACATTCCTATTATTGTATCTCTTTTGATAACTGCTACGTCTTTTATAATCTGTTTCTAATGATTTTGAGATCTTTCATGTCTGGGACCTCGCTCTTATTTTGATAATCTTTGTACGAGCTGTTGCTCTGTCATTGGACCATGTTGACATTTGTTGGTCTGTGATTGGCTGCTCACAAATTGCCACCAGATGTTAAAACTGTATCTCTGTTCACTGTTGTGTCAGTAGCAACTTGACAGATTCTCTGATCGGGTCTGCTTTTGAGTTGCTGCTCAGCCTTTGCAAATGAAAACCTTTTATTAAATCATCTGACGGTCATCATGCAGTCCCCTTTTTATTCACGTGTTTCTGCCTTTTTAATAAATATTTCTACAACAAAGCCAATAGGACCACATCATCCACAAAAAGCAGAGCCGTGATCCTAAGGTCACCAAAAAGGATCCCTTCAACACCTTGGCTGCTCCTAGAAATTCTGTCCATAAAAGTTATGAACAGAATTGGTGACAAAGGACAACTTTGGTGGAGTCCAACTCTCACCTGAAACAAGTCTGACTTACTAACGACAATGTGGACCAAGCTCTGGCACCGGTCGTACAGGGACCTTTTCCACTAGTGTCACTTAGTGTAGTGTTGGTACGGTCAGTGTCGGAACAGGTCACAACCCGTGTCAACGGGCCTGGTACCCCATACTCCTGGAGTACCCCCCACAGGAGTCCCAGAGGGACACGGTCGAATGCCTTCTCCAAGTCCACAAAACACATGTAGACTGGTTGGACTCCCATGCACCCTCCAGGACCCTGCTGAGGGTGAAGAGCTGGTACACTGTTCCATGACCAGGACCAAAACCACACTGCTCTTCCTGAATCTGAGATTCAACTATCTGATGGACCCTCCTCTCCAGGACCCCTGAATAGACCTTACCAGGGAGGCTCAGAAGTGTGATCCCCCTATAGCTGGAACACACTCTGCATTTATATTGTTGATCTTTAATTTGTTTTTATGTTGTTTTTACTGATTGAGTGAATTATTGTTATGTATGTACAGCGCTTTGATCCTGTGGGTGTTTAAAGTGCTCTATAATCTGGTACGGTATAGGAAGGGAAATATCTGCTGTTGGTGTCATGATGTCTCAGGAAAAATATTTTAACCCATTGTTCAATCCTATCACAGATGCTCTACATCTGACTACTAGCATGTCCATTCAATCTGACTAGCAAAACTTATCAATGTTACCCAACTTTACAGTTGTGGGATATTTTGTGTTTGTCTGTCTGATAAAATCCCAGTAAAGCACTTTGACATTTGTGGTTGTAATGTGACAAATGTAGAAAGTTCATTGATTATACAAACAGATTGAGAAATATGAATTAAAACAAATACCTAACATCATTCTGCTGTTTGGGATTTGTTGAGTAAAATCAGTTGATTTAAAATGGGATTTTCACACAATGGATGTGAGATTAAAGCTAAAAGTCTTCAGTTCTTCATCAGAACTAAATAAGCCTTTGGGATGAGAAGTAAACATCATGAATAGAGTCTAGGTGCCTTCAGATGAACCTCTTGGGAGTGTGGCGTTTTCTACAACCTGCTTTGAAGCTACTCTTGAGCAACTTCCAGGTGAACACCTTTAGTTTCAGCCCTTCTCTGTCCCTACACATCCCACAGGTCCAGAAGAGCAGGTCGAGTAGAAAGTCAGGAAAAATAGACCAAACCTTTTCAGTTCATCTTTTACATGAAAACCAATTTGTCCCACAAGAAATGAGTGAAGCAGACTCACCTACAGGTTGCCTTCTGAAGTCTTTGGTCTCTCCAACCCCAAATAAAGAAAGTCAGTCAGACCCACAGTTACAGTGGTGTGATATATGATTTATAAATGTTATTAAATCTGGATTTTTTTAAACACTGTTCAAAAAGTGGTACTGAGGACAAAAGCAACTAAAAAAGGATGTAAGAATGTGTAAATTGGATATTGTACTAGATTTGACACAAATTACAAGTTTACCATGTTTCTATTTTTGCTGTTGATCCAAAGAAAATGATTTCACACCTCAGTGGAGTCACTAAGGTCTAAAACCATACCACTGATAAATAATTATTAATCAAATGATCTAAATCTGCCTAGTTTCATTTCTAAAATGTACTCCAGTAAGTTAGGACACAAATGTGGGAGACTCTGCCAAAGTGGGATCAAAATGGGTACAATGTGTGAAAAAAATAATAAAAAATAAAACATTCACAGACAAACATTTTGTCTCACTTCCTGATTTAGCTCAGGAGCTATGAGTGGTGAGATCCTCTGCAACCAGAAACTAAATATTTACTACCAAGTTTATTACAAACCAATTAATGTAGAAACAATGTGTGTGGTGTAGGTGTGGTTGTGTGCGTGGAATCATATATCCTATTATAAATAATGTTTTTGTTTGTTTGTTTATTTATTACCTTTGTTTAACCTGGTAAATCCCATTAAGGTCACCTGTGTTTTTTCAAAGGAGGCCTGTGCCTGAGCCTAATGCATGATTTTAAACTGTTATTTATATAATAACTTTATAAAATGCTGAAAGTCATTCTAGCCTAAGAGTGTTTAGTGAAATAAGAGGTTTTGTTCTGCTCTATTTAAGGTTATTATGTATCAGCCGTGTCAGTTTATTGGAGGAATACAGTAAATGAAGAGTCGTCAACACAAACAGGCATGTAATCTATTTTTAATGTTGTTGTGTCTGTCATGTTTGGGGTCAGAGGTTAGGCAGAAGATGGGATTATAACAATGGTCTTTTAAAAAATGTTACATTCACTTTGTTTACACCAGAACACAACAATAGCAGTGTTTCCATTCACCATGAAAATGCGCAGTTTAGAATTTTGAAAATAAATTTGCTCAAAGGAAACACATCAATTTCGAAAAAAAAAAAAGGTTTTTCAACAAAATGTTTTTGCGCTAGGATGAGGTGGTTTTTTTGGCCGTATCGTAATTGATGTTTTTCGCAAAACTGCAAAAATTTGGCAGCACAAATGAAAACAGCACGGCTCACTGGTCTCAGAATTCAGTGAGTCTGCAAATAAACATCTGTGAATGTTTTTTAGAAATTTGATTTGCCAACTAGTCTCAAACAGTCTCAGGTCAGTTAGATTCCTTTAAAAACAAAACAGGAAGTGTTTAAAAGAGAGGAAACACAACACAAGGACTTACCTTGTTAGTCTTCAGCCCACAGAGTGCTGTGGAAAGGCGCTCCCTGCTTTAGGCTAAACTCCTGCAGTGGTTAGGTTCAGTCTTTGTGTCCAAACACAGAATGAAACATGAGGACATGCAGAGGTTCACTGAGCTGCTCAAACTGACTCAGTGCAGCAGATATCTAAATATCACTACTTTTTAAAGTGCTCTTTGTCCYAAAACTCACACCTGAGAGCCAGTTGCCCCTGTGCAAACCCTCCAGAAGGGAGCGCCCAACAAGAGTAAAGAAGAAATGAAAGATGGTACTTACATTCTGTCCTTGCTGAGATTCTGAGACTCATCTTGCTCTAAATGAACTCTACCACATTGGTGGGGTTTAATCAATAGATTAGCTTCATTTGGAATTTAACATTTAAATCATTTTTTTATGTTTTAATGTTTCCAATGTGTACATATACTGTGTGACAGTAACTGAACACATGTAATAGTGTTTAAGTGAAGATCCACTAACTTGAAAAATATTTCTAATGACAAGTGTGAAGGCTTTTTCTTCAAAGTTTTAAATAAAATAATTTAAAACAGGCAAACTGATACAATACCTTGTGTGTGTCTCTGAATTTACTGATCTCTCTGGAAATAAGGTCCCTCTTGTCATCTTCCAACTCCATGGCATTGATATCCTTACAAGACAGGACACCAACAGATATTAAACTTACAAAGTACACAAACAAACAAAAATACACAATACTAATGTTACGTAAACTTTCATTAAGTAGCCTGAAGGACCCCTCCTCCAACATGACCTGTTGACCCTGCAGGTTTGTTGACCCTGCAGGTCATGCCTCCTGACTGAACTGAACTGAACTCTGTTCTGTAAAACCTTTCTTACACTCAAAGCTCTGACCTAACTTTAATCTGTCCTTGACAGGAAATCAAGGTGATGCTGCTGTATGTTTTCATCTTTTATGTTTTTAAAAACAGAGAAAGACAAGAATCATTACATGATTTTTACTTTTTGAAGGTATTGTTTTGGTGTCATTTGATCCCACTAGTTTAACCTGAAACATTCAGATCAACTGTCATTTTAATCACAGTGTTTAACATGTTAATCGTCTCTTTTTCTTTTTTCAGAAGCATCAGCTGTGCTTGGCGCCACCAAGACGGTGAGGAAATCCAAATATTTTATGGAAAAGAAATACTTTGTTTCTGCAGCAATCTGACCCTGAGAGGTAAATATCTTTGTTTTGACTCTCTTGTTTTGACAGGAAGAAAAGAAAAAAGAAGTGAGTTCAGTTTTCTTCTGATCGTTGCACCWACCATCTGAGAAATGGAGCTTATTTTAATTTCATACAGAAGCCTGAGCTGGGCCTCTGGGGTCTGTCCTAACCGTGTCCAGCTGAAACCAGCTGACCAAGGCTTTGTATGACGGAGAGTGAAGTCCGTCTGGTCCAGAACTCTTGTCTGATGAACCCACAGACTGTTCTGAACCTGGTGGACTCCACAACTGGATGTCTGCAGCACCAGGTAGCAATGAAGATATGAAATGTCTTAAAGCATGGCACTTTTCACACAGTGGTTCCATCCATCCATCCATCCATCCATCCATCCATCCATCCATCCATCCATCCATCCATCCAT